TATCATATGCTCCCTGCCCCCCAAAAAAATTCGTAAAGGAGCCAATAAAGCCGCCCCCGCCACCCCCACCTTTAGCTTCCACAAAACTTCAGAACAATCCCAGTCCTTCAATCTCGACCTTTCCCACACCCAAACTGAATTTCGACACAACCCTCCCCACAACACAACTTGAACCTATTAACCTAAAATTTTCTGCAAAAACCTATAGTCTGCACACAGCGATATGGCTCGGTACTATCCCCATAGGGTAGGCTGCCCCTTTGCACTTCGCGACCAACACTACCACGCTGTAAGCCTCTTCTTCCCCAACTAGTCCCTTTCTCCTTCAATGATTAAATAACCTACACTATAAATCCCGTATTAACATCCAATGTTGTAAATAAAATTCTACAGGGAGACCGCAATACCCGAGCTTTCCCCTTCCTCATTTTCCCCCTTAACGCATTCTCTATTTCTCTGCTGTAATAATCCCACCTAAAGCCTTTCTGTCGCTATTGTCCTAAATTACAAGTCCACATACATACACACCTTGTCTAACCCACGGCTCCGCACCCCCCCACTATGTCCAGTACTTTCTCATACAAGCCTCCGCTATGTGCAATCCCTTTGTGGCGCATTATCTCCTGCCCTGCTCTATAAGTCCTGACCGTCTCCGGTTACACTCTAAACTCGGGATAGCCTCACCACCTGCCTTTGCTTTTAATGCCTAAAAGACACGCAGACGGCTTGTGCCCCAGAGCACTTTCTTCCACCCTGCCCCTGCACCCTTACAGCTTGAAACTTTCATTTTGGTAACACGCCTCCAATCTTACCCTTTTATTGTCAACTATTTCATCCATAGGAAATTATTCCAACCCACGCCCCCGCCCATAGCAACCTCTTAACCTATCCTCTAAATAGTTAGCCAGCACATATTTATAATGTATTAATACGTTTTCCTATTCCTCACATAAAACTTTCTAATCCCTTTCCCTTCGCAACAACAATCCCACCAATGTCCACGATGTCGTCCACCTCCTGTTCCTTCCACAATAAGCTCCCTCCATAGGGTTGAAAACCCCTCCAACCCCGCCTGTTCACCTAACAACACTTATATTTAGTTTCCAATAACTTCTGTTTGTTTCCCCGCGAAGCACCCCCCCCCACCCCCCCACCCAAACCTCCACCACCACGAAAAAAACCCTATGATCTGACATAGTACCTCAACATACTAAAGATGTCACATCCACACACTGAGAAAGGTACACTCTATCTAGCCTGCAGCTAGCCACTCCTAACGAACGTATGTGTCAGTCTCCCACACTGCCCCCCCCTCAAATGCATCACGTAACCTGACATCCCTTAAAACAATTTCTCTAAGAGCCACAACATATTAGCCCGCTCCATTGGTCCCACGTCTGCCACCCTGATTACACAAGTCCAGTCCCCACCAACTATTGTCACCTCTGCAGTGCACGTAAGAAAAACTCTAGATCCTCAACACACTAAATCATGCTTTACTTGGTATGTTAATTTTCTTTCTGCCGGCGCATACACACCACAAAATACAACACGCTTACCCCATCCCCACCCATCCACACGCAACACCCTCCCTCCCCCCTCCTCACTTCTTTTCTCCAGCAGAAAAACAAACGGGCTCGTCTCCCTTATTAAAATGCCCACACTCACCTTTTAGACGGGAAGATGAGGGTAACTACTCGAAACCCTGCACGCCCAACCACCCCTAAACCCTCTTTAAAATTGTGTTCCCCTGCAGAACACAACATCCACTCTAGATTTATTCAGAAAGTACCAACCAATCTCTTTCATAATGCTCAATAACCTTTAACAGTTACAGTCATACCCTAAGGCCTTTTAAAGTTTCCAACCCCTGCCTCCTCTCCTCACTCTTTACAATACCAGAGCTTGAATTCATGTTTGAAACACCTTCAAGAATGATCTCTTTTCCTCCCCCCCCCCCGTCCTTCCGTGCCTCCTATCCTGGCTACCACCACCTACACCACTACCTTACACTCCACCTCAGTCTGTTGCCCAGGCTTTGCGCTCTCATCAGGACACATCATAATCTGACGTAGCCCGCCCTCTTTCTCCGTGACAGTCAACGTTACACATATCTTGATCACGGTGTTGCCACATACGATGAACCTCCACCCCCACCTGCCAAATGGTTTATTGATTCAGGACGACCCAACACAACATCAATTCCCAAAATATCACGTCCTCGACTTACTGAAAGCGATGACTCACCCAATTGAACCTCTTTCAGATTAAGTTCCCCTCAGCGGTGACAAAGTCTTCAAACCTCCACCAATTCTCCGCAAATCTCAATGACCTGCTCCTGAGTTTGCTGCTCCGCCTTATCCACAGGACGAGACAACCGGTCAGGCACTGGGTGAGGGACTCCCCAACCCCCCTCCAGTCCCCGTGTGCCCTGAGCCACTATCTCGTCCACAAAAACACCTCGCCCTCCGTCCAATGTTGTTCCACACCTGCCCACCTTTGAAGCAGTGCTACAACGTCCACCACAGGTCCAGGCACCCGTCTCCACTTGTCACAAGTCGCCGCTATTGTGATTCATAACTCACCACCAAAGGCGGCACGTACGTCGTTGCCCTGGATACATAACCATGACCTGCATCCTGAAGTCTTGTAGATAAACATAGGACGGTATTGGGAGTCTCAAAGTCATTTTGAGGTTGAAAGTACCCTCTGGCAGACCAGCATAGGCGCCTGCCACTCACGTTCCATGCTGAGCAAAATGAACCGTTCCATACTTCTCAAAAACTTTCCTGATATCCGCCTTGTCTACCTCAAAGGGAACGTTGCGTAACTTGATCCACGTATATGCCGTGAAACATCAATCATTCTCACACAGACAGCTGGTGTGACGGTAAGACTCATGTCCTGAAACCGGGTGACCAACGATTCATAGACCGTCGCCGTTAGCAGTTTTACAAAAATTCTTTGGGCTCCATTTAATGCAACCCCATATAATTCACCATCTTGTATGCCATACGTCTCCCGGATGATCTTGGGTAATAAGACTTGCGCAGAACTAGGCGTAATCGTTTCTCGAAGTAGCTCTATGCCGACAGTATTAATCCGGCGTCTGAGACTAAACGCCATTTTGACAACAGCAGTACTCCTGTACTCCTATATTGTCAACAGAGGCACAACAGCACCACATCACACCACTGCAGCCAGGTAACTGAGGAGCGTCTGCGCAGTAGGTCCACAAGGCCCGAGAGCGATGAGGACAATGAAAGAGAGCTTTAAGTCTGGATATATGTTGATCTCTGTGGCATGCAAAGAGTACGTAACCTTTATTCGGCGCATATACACACCCTCATTGAAAGGCTATCTCCCCAACTAGCAAACCAGTACTAGGGTCGAACGATGGGGCCCCATCGTTCGATCAGTACCCAGGTTCAGCCAATGAGAGGTGTGGGCACCACCTGCCTGTCTACCCTTGTCATTTCCGTACTAGAGCAGGTTGAGCACGGTTGTCCATTCTGTCTCCAGGCTGTGTCTTGGCCTTGCCTAAACCGTGTTGTACACATACATTTCCAACTGTATATAGTGTACATAGCTGTACATAAGAACTATTGCTCTTGATGGAGGAACATATATCTCAGTCATTCAGCTGCGTTTGCTCTGCTCCTTGCTTCCCCTTTACACCCAGGATAAAAGGCCTTATTGTTCCTGGGTTGTAATATGGGTAGCCTGTCTGGGATCTGGAGCTGGACTTAGAGGACGAGTTGAGCCTAGGGTGAAGCTGAAGCAGGAACATTGTGTAACTTGGTGTCTGGCATTGCGTTAGCTATGCCAATGTTGTACGAAACTTTGCGTGACAGCCTTGCGTTCTTATGGTCAGCCTGCTATTGTATGATCCTTGACAGCTTGCTATTAGCTTGTTCATGGTGGTCGCTTCACTATGGTCAGTCTTGCTGTTGTGTGAATATTTTGCAGTCGGCTTTGTTATTGTCTCAGCCTTGCTATTGTATGTGCATATTCTGCACTCGTACTGGGCATAGCTAAGCGTGTATTGCCTAGATGAGTCAGACGTCTAGTGTCTGAACACACTTTATTAAACTTGTCTAAATTTTCTCTACAGCGTTACTGGCAAATTGCTCGTTCCATTGGCATTGATTACGAACACACTCTCACAGCTGTGCAGTTTCATACTCTTATAAGTATCAAACTTCGTGAAGAGATGGCGCATCAAATTCCTCCCTCTACGGGAGATAGGAATAAAAACCTGATGTTCTCACAGGAGGAAAATGATACATCAACTGAGCAAAATCGTCAGTCTCATGTGACAGGGTTGTCTGAAGGTGAATCAGCGGCGTTGGCACTTGAGTTGGCGAAAATCAATTTAGAGCAGACTACGGAACAAAGGGCATATGCCAATTAAGAATTTGATAGGGAAAAAGAAAGAAGGCATCTTTCTCAAGTTGTAAATGACTTTAGTTTACAGAAACTAGTACAGCTGGTTCCCTGCTTCAATGAGGCAGAACCTGAACAATTTTTCGAAACTTTCGAAAATCAGGCTCGAGCCTTGAGGAGGCCGGAACAGCATTGGGCGTCTTTGGTGCATACAGCTTTTCTTGGAAAGGCACAAGAATTTACATCAGTGTTAAATGACACCGATTTTTGCAATTGCACAGTGGTGAAGACCACAGTTCTTGGAGCATATCAGTGCATTCCAGCTAAGTATAGGAAGTCATTCAAGTTAGGCAGACGACAGCATGGTCAACCCCTGGTTGATTTTGTAAGACAGCAGACCAAAGCTTTTACCAGCTGGTGTAAAGCAAGCGGTGTCGCAACTTTCGATGATCACGTGCAGCTCATCTTAGTAGATAACCTGCTGGAGTCTGTTGGACCAGAGGTTAGTCTTTCTGCAGGATCATGTCTTAACCACTGCATTGGAGGCAGCCAGGTTGGTTGATACCTTCGAAACCAACCGCTCCTTGTCTGAGCGGTTCCATCTCTTTTCAAAGCCTGGCATGAGCAGAGATCGTCAATATTGGAGGATGAAGGGCCAGCCAGAAGGAGAACATCTACGTCAGCCAACTAAGTCACCTGGTGAGCCACGCTTCTCATCGTATGGTCCACCTGGTGAGCGACAAACCACTCAACACCGTGTAACTCGACAACAGTATCCAAAGTGACACCAGCCAGAGTGAAACCAGTTACAACGTCAGCAGGGGGCTAAGGTCAAGCCTGTAGTCTGTTATCTGTGCAACCAAGTAGGTCATATCAGCCCAAACTGCCCAGATAAACCTCAACCATTAGGGAAAATCTATATCCTTAGCAACATGACCCTGAAAGAAGTAGAGAAAGGGATGGCTCCTTATTATTGCCAGAGTCATATTTCCCTTCAGGAGACTCAAAGAAAATTGAAGTCAGAACCCATAGGGATATTGGAGCATATTGCTCGCTAATAAGAGGGGGTACTTCCCCTTTCTGAACACTATTACAATCCTCTGTTTTGCTTGAAGCCTTCGGAGAAGCGATCTTTTCTGTCCTTTGCATAGAATCTATATGCAGTGCAAATATTACACTGGATATCTGACTGTAGGTGTATCCGAAGGATTTCCTATGAAAGATGCCATGTTATTACTGGGTAATAACATTACCACTTCTAGTGTATGTCCTGAACCCATAATGATTAATTCTTCTTCGGTGTTGGCCATAACTCGGGCAACATCCCAAGGGTTGTCTGGTGAGAATGCTGGCCTATCCTTGGACGATTCTGATCTCGGAATAGCCAATTTGTTTTATGAGGAAAACTGGCCAGAGCCTCGCAAATTTAGTGAACAGACCCAGATCAAGCCTTCCTATTCCAGGGTTGCAGGATTGCCATATATGTTTCCATGCCTGAGGGACTGTCCTTCCGAGAGGAACAACGAAAGGACCCTTCTTTGCAAATTGTAAGTAAATTATCTGATGTAAATTATGTGGTATCTTCCCTTGATAAGACCTCAAAAACTAAAACTTACCACATTAATCAAATTAAAACTTTTCATACACCAGATAAAGTCCCAGTAATGACTCTGTCCTCTGCCTCCGAGGACGAATCCTACTCTTTGCACTCTATTTCTGAAATTAATGTCCTCTTCAAGACCCTAGCCCTATTAATGGGGGGGCTATCTAAAATACAAGTAACAAGTTTAATTTCACTTCTACAATTATACACAGATATTTTTTCGAATGTGCCGAAAAAATGTACATTAGGTTATCATGACGTAGATGTGGGGAGCTCTAAACCTATTACTCTCCCTCTACAGAGCTAATCCTGAAAAACAGAAGCTACTTCAGCAGAAGGTAGAATTTCTGTTAGAGCATGAGTTAGTGGAGGAGTCATCTAGTCCATGGGCTTCACCGTGCATCCTTGTTAAAAAAAACTGATGGAGGTTTTCGCATGTGTACAGACTACCGTAAGGTGAATGAGGTCACAATTACAGATGCTTACCTTCTTCCTCGTCTGGATGATGTAATCGACTTTGTGGGTAAGGCTACTTTTTTGTCCAAGTTAGATCTCCTTAAAGGTTACCTTTGGCAGGTAAGGCGAAGGAAATCTCTGCCTTCGTAATTCCAGGAGGTCATTATCAATATACAGTTACCCCCTTTGGAATGAAAAATTCTCCCCCTTCATTCCAGAAACTTATCCATCAGGCTATTAAAGGACTTGAAGGCACTACAGCTTAGTTAGTTGACATCGTGGTGGTGTCTGATACTTGGGATCAACACTTGTTTAGGCTTAATGTTCTCTTTGAGACCTTCCAGAGTTCCCATTTAACTGTTAACTTATCTAAGTCTCCTTTGGCCAGGCTACTGTTACTTTTCTGGGCCATGAAGTAGGTAGTGGCAAAGTTGCCCCTAAATTTGCTAAAGTTCTTGACATTAAAGATTATCTAGTTCCTCATTGTAGAAAATCTCTTCAACGTTTCTTAGGCATGATAAGGTTTTACTGAAGATTCTGTAAAAAAATCCAGATATTGTAGCCCCTCTTACCTCTCTTACCAGTCACAAAGTTCCCTTTAATTGGACCTCAGAATGTCAAAATGCTTTTACGAAAGCAAAAAGATTATTGTGTACTGCACCCATTCTTTTGTCTCCAGACTTCATAAAACCTTTCTCATTACGGTTTGTGCGGGGAAATTTGGGGGGTTGGGGCAGTTCTGTTACAAATTGAGGGACGGGGGGTTGCAGCCTTTGGGCCTTCTTCTGGGCCAAGGGGGCCCCCGCACCAGGGCCCTACTAACAATTAAAAGAAGCCCTCGCGCTGGTATTGGCCTTGGAACCTTCGTTTTTGGGCCGATTTCACAGGTGGTCATTACACCGACCACACCCTCTAATTTATCCCCAAAAATAGAAAAATCACAACAAAGAATCATGAGGGGGTTACTCCGATGAACCCATATAATATAGGGAAAATACCCCTGGTAAAGAAAAAAAATTGGCAGACTTTTGTCAAGAGTCTAAATTTTATTGTATTAGATTTTTGTTTTAGGGCCTTGGTAACATGCAGTCTTTTTTTCCCCTTGGGAGTTTTTTTTTTTAGTGAAGGGGATAGGGCTACCCCCACTTGTATTTGGACCTACGTCCCCCATGCTGCTGTCTTGCTCTAAGTTTGGGGGTTTGGCTTTTGTCGCAAAAAAAGGAGCTCTATCTAAGATTTGGGAGGGTTGGGGGGAAAAGGCGGTCCCATTATTGGTGCCAGGGGCAGGGTTACCGTTGAAGGGGGGGGGCCTATCCGGGACCCCTCTGGGGGTGGGGTGTGGATGCAAAGATACGTAACCTTTATTCGGCGCTGTACACCCCTCATGAAAAGGGTATCTCCCCCAAAAAAACGAACCAGACTAGGGGCGAACGATGGGGCCCCTCGTTCGATCAGTACCCAGGTTCAGCCGTGAGAAGGTGGGAGTGGCAATCGTAGAGGGGTTGGGCAAACCCCCCACCTATCTACCCTTGTATTTCCCCCATAAGCAAATTTGGGGTGGTTTTCCCTTCGTCTCCGGGGTGTTTGGGCCTTTCCTAAACTGTGTTTACACTTTTATTTCCAAAATGTATATTTGACATAGCTGTACACAAAATACTATTTCTATTTGGGGGAGGAAAATATATCTCCCAAATTTTTCAGCTGTGTTTGTTCTGCTCCTTGTTCCCTTTACACCCCCGGAAACAGGCCCTTTTTGTTCCCGGGGTGCAATAGTCTCGTGTATCACCACTACGATATCATCTAGATAAACTGCCGTGCCTTCAAGTCCTTTAATAGCCTGATGGATCAGCTGAGTTTTTACTCAGGAAGATACTAGCGAAATTCCAGAAATAATAAATTATGTAGAACAGGACGATAATAAACTATGCACGATTGGAGTAACTAGTGACATGGTCCTCGGACAAATTGAGAAATTAAAACCTAACAAATCCCCAGGCTCTGATGAACTGTTTGCAGGGTTTTAAAGGAATGTAAAGAGGAACTTAATATGCCTTTGGCTAATCTTTTCAATATATTACTACAAACTGGCGTAGTGCCAGTAATGTAATACCTATTTATAAGGCATTTGACAGGTCCTTAACTTCGAACTATAGACCAATAAGCCTTACTTCCATAGTTGGTAAATTTATGAAATCAATAATAGCAGAAGCAATTCGTAGCCATCTTGAAAGGCATAAGTTGATTAATGAATCTCAGCATGGTTTTACAAAGGGGGATTCCTGTCTTTCAAATTTACTAACTTTCTTCAATAGGGTATTTGAGGAGGTAGATCATGGTAATGAATATGATATTGTGTATATGGACTTCAGTAAGGCTTTCGATAGAGTTCCACGTCAGAGACTATTGAGGAAACTTAAGGCACATGGAATAAGAGGAGAAATTTTTTCCTGGGTAGAGGCATGGTTGACAAATAGGCAGCAGAGTTTGCATAAATGGGGAGAAATCAGAATGGGGGCACGTCACAACCGGTGTTCCACAGGGGTTAGTGTTGGGCCCCTTGTTGTTCACAATCTACATAAACGACATAGATGAGGAATAAATAGCGACATAAGCAAATTTGCTGATGACACCAAAATAGGCCGTCCAATACATTCTAATGAGGACAGTAGAGCTCTCCAGGATGATTTGAATAGACTGATGCAATGGTCGGTGAATTGACAGATGCAGTTTAATATAAACAAATGCAAAGTTCTAAATGTTGGACAGGAAATAACCATGCCACATATAAACTAAATGTAAATCTTAATATTACGGATTGCAAAAAGGATTTAGGAGTTCTGATTAGCAGTAACCTGAAACCAAGACAACAGTGCATAAGCGTTCGCAATAAAGCTAACAGAATCCTTGGCTTCATGGCAAGAAGTATAAATAATAGAAATCCTCAGGTTGTTCTTCAACTATGTCTTTGGTTAGGCCTCATTTAGATTATGCTGCTCAGTTCTGGTCACTGTATTACAGAATGGATATAAATGCACTGGAAAACGTACAAAGGAGAATGGCAAAGTTGATCCAATGTGTCAGAAATCTTCTCTATGAGGATAGAACATCAAAATGGTATACAATACCGACAGGTTGTTAGGTAAGACACATATGCAACAGTTAGACAACTTTATTCCGAAACGTTTCGCCTACACAGTAGGCTTCTTCAGTCGAATACATCTTGGTACAGAAAACACCTTGGACAAGCTTTTCAAGTGAAAAAGGGTTGGATCTGAGAGGGACATGACCTCTCAGTGGCTACATTTTCACTACTACTACTACTCTGCACCTCTCCTTCCGACAGTATTTAAGTCTCTGCACTGTCGCTTGATCTTCAGATAGTTCCTGACTATGGAACTGAACTGCTCCAGGCTGAGGGACTGACAACCTCAAATTCTACGACTTCAAGGGTGATGGACTGATTACATCGTCTTCACATCTCTACTGTTCCTGCCTACTTTCTGTATTCGACTGAAGAAGCCTACTGTGTAGGCGAAACGTTTTGAAATAAAGTTGTCTAACTGTTGCATATGTGTCTTACCTAACAACCTATGAGGATAGACTGAGGCCCTGAAACTGCATTCTCTAGAAAGGCATAGAATTAGGGAAGATATGATTGAAGTGTATAAATGGAAAACAGGAATTAATAAAGGGGATGTAAATAGCATGCTAGAAATATTTAACATAGACAGGACTCGCAGCAATGGTTTTAAATTGAATAAATTCAGATTAAGGAAGGATATAGGAAAGCAATGGTTTAAAAACAGAGTTGTGAATGAGTGGAACACTCACGAGTACCGTTATAGAAGCTAAGACGTTGTGTAGTTTTAAAAATAGGTTGGATAAATACATGAGTAGGTGTGGGTGGGTGTGAGTTGGGCCTAACTAGCTTGTGCTACTAGGTTAGATGCTGTGCTCCTCCCTTTTGTGACGTGTCTGACCTCACTAGGTCAGTGGTGTCAGACGGTCAGTGAGCTTAAGGTCACTAGGTCAGTTAGCTTAAGCCGGGAGGGGGGGGGGGAGAATTGGACCTGCCTTGCATAGGCCAGTAGGCCTGTTGCAGTGTTCCTTCTTTCTTATGTTTTTATGTTCTTATGAAACGATGCCGGCGAGTTCCACATCCCTAAGGAGGTTACTGTGTATTGATAATGTCCTCTTGGAATTACGATGGCAGAAATTTCCTTCGCCTTATCTGTCACAGGTACCTGATAGTAATCTTTAAGGAGGTCGAGTTTAGACACGGAAGTAGCCTTACCCACAAAGTCCACTACGTCATCTAAACGTGGCAGAGAGTAAGCGTCTGGAATACTGGCTTCATTCACCTTCCGGTAGCCTGTACACATTCAAAACCCTCCATCAGACTTCTTAACAAGGATGCACGGTGAAGCCCACGGACTGGATGATTCCTCCACTAATCAGTATTCTAACAGAAATGCTACCTCCTGCTGAAGTTGCCTCTGATTTTCTGGATCAGCTCTGTAGTGCGACCTCAGTTGTAGGCAAATTACTAGAGTCAATTATAGCTGAGATTATAAGAAGCCATTTCGAAAAGCATAGCTTGATTAATGATACTCAGCATGGATTCACAAGAGGCCGGTCTTGTCTAACTAATTTATTAACTTTCTTCAGTAAAGCTTTTGAGGCTGTTGACCACGATAAAGAATTTGATATTATTTACTTAGATTTTAGTAAGGCTTTTGATAGAGTTCCGCACCATAGACTGTTAAAGAAAGTGGCAGCTCATGGCATTGGGGGAAAAGTGCTCTCGTGGATCGAGTCATGGCTCACTGACAGGAAGCAGAGAGTGTCCATAAATGGGGTTAAATCCGAGTGGGGATCTGTAACAAGTGGCGTTCCACAGGGATCAGTCTTGGCCCGTTGTTGTTTATAATATATATCAATGATCTTGATGAGGGAATTACTAGTGATATGAGCAAATTCGCCGATGACACAAAGATAGGGAGGATATTTGATTCAAACGTAGATGTTATGGAACTTCAGGAGGATTTATTAAAC